CCCCACAGCCTTCAGGGCTATCAGCCAACCTTGCTGAGAAGACACTCTGCACCATCACCCAGGTCCTTAATGAAGATGTTGAACAGGATTGGACCCAGGTTTGATCCCTGGGGGACTCCACTGGTTACAGATCTGGACACCCCCAACTCCTGCCACGTACCGCGCAGCCGTCGGCGGTGGCTCGGATGTAGGGGTTGTTGTCATAGGACATCTCCTCATCGTTGGAGCCCAGGAAGCGGATGGCCTTGTCGTAGCTGTTGGTGGTGGCATCGTGCCAGGCTACAGACTGGTAGCAGTTGTAGGTGATGTTCTGGTGGGCCGAGGCACTCAGGAGCCTGAGGAACGTCATCTGCACCACGCCGATGGGGTTCCCGTCCGAATCCACGTAGGAGAGCTGTGAGGAGAGGAGATGGGGGAACACTGGGTGGTGATGGGCAGAGGTTGGGGGGGATCTGAGGACCACCAGTCTCATCCATCTTCATTACCCTGTGCACAGGGCTCAGTCTCACCACTCCACCCGGGTGGGACATGGCTCCTGCCACGCTATAGGGCAGCTCTGGTCCTCCTGTGGCTGGGGCAGGGCTATGATGGGACAACTTACTTCTCTTGCTAGATGTGAGCTAAAAAAACTACAGCTAATGCAGGGCAGGGGAGAAAATGAAGGGGGATTTCAGCTCTGTTTGCAAAAAGGTGCAGAGCTAGGCAAATATGGAGATTCTGGGATCTCAACTTGAAGCCAACATTGAGTGCACTTCTCCAAGAGGAAAGAACCCAAATTTCTGGGTTTGGGGCTTTTTCTCCCCTGCCCTTATGGACGTGATTTCCTGACCACTGTGGGTATTTTGTTCTGCACACACTGGGGTATTTCCCATTTGTTTTCCATGGGCACCAGCACACTCAGCCACTTCTGCACTCCATCTGCACCAATCCTGCTCCTGGAGTCCGTGCTGCCCTGGTCCTGGTCAGTGAGACTATGCTCAGCTAAAGAGAAGATGCATTTGCTGCCCTCAGGGCGTGTCATGAAACACAGAGCTGCACCAACACAGGGCTTTGCTCCATTCTGCACATCAGGGTCCTTTTCTCTTTTGGAGAATGGTGCCTAGGAACATAATTCTGCAAAACACAATTTACTGAAACCCACTTCCACACCTAGGGAATTCAGGACTTTGAGACTTTCTCTTGTATCCCACCAAGGAAGCAAATGCACAGCAAGACATTTAGTGTATATAAACTGTACTTCAGGTGGCATCTCCACCCCTGGCCAAGCCACCAGAGCTGCTGCTCCTTACTGTCCTCTGTGGACAGTGGGTTTCTTTAGAAACGACCAGGAGAAAACTACAGGCACACAAAGAGCGTGGTGTTCTTCAAGGTACCATGAAACATCTGGCCAAGCTGCAAACAGTAGAAGAGATTGATAACCAGACAATCAAACCAGGAGAAAAAGATAAATAAAAATAAATATACCAACCAGTTGTCAGGATACTGTTGCACTGTCCTCCTGAGAGTGAAACATGACTGACCATGAGAGAGCCATGCGTGCCAAGAGGAGAGCTACCAGCAAACCACCAGGACGTGGAAGGGAGAGGACACAAAATGCCAGCTACTTGACCCACACCCAATGACACAACTGCTCTGCAGGACCCACTTCTATTATTTGTTCTGATTTCAAATCCCTGCTTGATTTGGAAGCCTGACTGCATGTTGTGGGGTCCCAGTTGCTCTTTTGCCTCTGCAGACTGGAGGAAGCCCTGTCTCAGCTTTGCCACTGGGAGCTGGTTGTTTTCTCCATGATAGGATTTCCCTGTGGCAGATGCCATATGGCTGTGAAGGATAACAGGGCAGGATGGGTGGCAGGCCTTGTTAGAGAGACTGGGAATTGTGTGCAACACAGGAGGAAAGAAGGGAACATCTGCACCCCTTTTATCCCTCTAAATGCAGTTTGGCTGCATCGTGAGAAATGGTGAGAAGCTGGCTCCAAGTACTCCCTGTCATTGATTAATGACAGTCTGGAAGCATCAAAACAAGGTGGTTTCTCTCTATTTCATATTCACTCTGTCCTTTAGACATCCTCAGAAGAAAGGCATCTGCACAGCTACAAGCCTTGAGATCCACATGGGAGCCCCACATCTGCCTGGAACCATTCCCCTTGGCCTCAGGACTGTCCAGGGGCTCAGCACCCACCAAAGACCAAGTGTGCTTGGGCTGTGTGGAAAGACACCAGGGACCTTCTCCGTGGAGCAACACCTCACCCAAAGGGGAACTCAAAACTCCTTCATCCCCCTCATCTACACACAAATTTCCACTGATTTTGGATCTAGGGAAATGTCTCTCTGATTTATCAAGCTCATGGTTCCAAGCACTGACTGTGGTGAAATGAGAAGTGCTTTAAAAGCAAAAAAAACATCAAACTTTTCTTTCATGGCTTGTGTGTTTAACAGTTTTGTGGTTTGCTTTAGGCAGGTCTTCTACGTGCTGGTGGCTTCTTTTTTGTTTTCAAACAGAAAATGCAGGACAGGTAAAAAAGCAAGAAAATGATAACAGAGCAAGATGGAGCAAAGGGCTCCAGGTAGCACTGAAATTCCTATTTAAAAAAAAATAAAATATGGGCCCTAAGCTCTACAGCCTCTAACATAGCTGATAAAGAGACTGGAAAAAATTAAAAGAAAAGCAGAGAAGATGAAGAAATGGAGGTACTCATTAACTGATGAAGTGCTCTGTAATTAAGCTATGAGTAGCTGCCCTCCAAGGAGCTCTGAGGCTGAAGCTGTGGCTTCTGCAGCCTGGTTTGATAAGGCAGAAAGGCTGCAGAAGCCACATCTTCCCTGTGGGCAGAATCAGAGCAAAACGTGCTTAGTGGCGATGAAATGGGGCGTAGGAAAACAACGTGGGGCTTTCCTCTGTTGTTTGCCTTTTAAGGTGGAAGTTTGGGGCACTGCAAGAAACCTCCTCCCTGGGGAGATGTCAACAGCACGAGGCAGCTCAGCGTGGCACGCTGGAGCATCTCCTGCTCTCAGGGACAGGTTGGGTTCATCAGCAGAATATTTCCTTCTTCCCGAACTCTCCTGATGTTACTGAGCTCACTGTCCACATCCTGCTAGAACTGAAACTCGTGGGAGATTTCTATTGCTCCAGGAGACCTGGCTTACACTGGTTGGTAGCTGCTCTGGGGGATGATGTCCCCAGGGAAGTGATGGATTCTCCAACACTGGACATTTTTGAGATTCAGATGGACAGGGTTCTGGGATGTCCTATCCAGACCACGCTTTTGACAAGAAAGGCTGGACCAGATATTTCTTGAGGTCTTTTCCAGCCCAGTATTTTGTGATTCTCTGGCATCCCTGACCAGGGCTAAGGCTCTGTGGGAATGATCTATGCATGACCTGAACATCCTATTACTGGCCAAAATACCAGAGCTTTTCCTCTGTTCTACATGTTGCTGTCTTGTTTGCTTGCTGATGTCAAACATTGTGTGACCTTACAACAGTTCTTCTCCCTTGAAAAAATCCTTAATTGGTACTAAGTCAAATTTCTGTCCACTCAGCTTACCAAATGCTGAAACCTTCCTTTAAACCAGTGACTTCAAGCCTCTCAAGCTCTATGGATTGGACAAGAACCCCCAGTGTTGCTCATCTCCAGTGTAGGAGACAAAATCCATCCTTTGGGGAAAACCTGTCCCAGACCAGAGATGTGCAGATTCACCACCTCAGCCTGGACACCAGTGAGCATGGGCTGTGACAGCTCTGGGCTGAAGGATCACCTTAGGAATCTCTCAGCTCTTGAGATAAGGCTCCACTGCTGGGGGGCTGCAGCATGGGGACATCTTGATGAATTTGGAACTGCTCAGGAGACAGCAAGAGCCCTCCTGTGGAGACAGACCTGCATCAGCTCCAGCTCTGCAAGCTCCCCTAACCACAGGGGCAAAGCTTGTGACCTGCTCCTAGGCTTCCAATAAAGCAGACTAGGGAAAAAAGAGCATCCCCATTGGGGTTTGTTTCTTTTTTTTTTTCAGCATTCCACCTTAAATGTTCTCAACTGTGAACTTGTGATGGTTATTAGTCCAGCATGCAGAGTGCAGCAGCTCTGGCCATACCCAAGCAGATGACGTGCTCTGACTCAGACTAGATGGCCAAGGTCAAGGTTAGCCACTTACCAACGACCCCCGCTTGTATTGACTATACCATGTGGAGGGCTGCTCTTTGGGCCAACGAGCCATTTTACTCTGTAAAATATTGACAGGGGTTAAAGAAAACAGAAAGCACCAAGATGCATCTTACCAGTTTACCCCGCTTGAATTCACTGAACCAGGAGCCTGGGTTTTCCTTTGGCCAAGAAGTAATTCTAGCCTAGTTTGTGGACGGCACCGAGGAAAGAGAGAAAGAAGAAAAAACAAAAAAAGAAAGAAAAAAAGTTACATTCAGTTCCACAAGCAGGGTCTGCATGTCTTCTTGAACTGTTTCAACAGCCTTTTAAAATGTTTTCTTAGTCTTTATACACCAAACCCCTGAGGTGCCAGCAGCAGAGGATGACAAGGTGCTGCCCTGGGTGCCCAGCACTGCCTTGGCACCAGCCTCCTTTGCTCAGGGCTAAAGATTTCTGCCTCCTGGGTACTTTGGATGCAAAATCAGCAGTGCAGTCTGTCAGCAGGAGAGATAAAAGGAAAGACAAAGAGGAAAAAAAGGAAATATCGGTGGTAAAAGAGGCATTGTTCATGAGAGGGCTGGGCTGGAAAAGCAATGCTGGGAATGGAAAATGCCGCTGGCACTCCAACTCCGAATCCAAAATGAGCTGTGAGGCTGGGAAGGGCAAAGGATGGGATTAAGGAAAAGCCTCTGCCTGCCTCCTGTGTTCGTGCAGCAGTGAGGTGCAGCACATCCTCCCCAGTTGGTGCTGGCCCATCACACGGGATGGAACTCCAAGTACCTGGAGCAATGCAGGGGGTGACCTTGACAAGACATGAGCTGTCAGAGCACCCTTTATGGCAGGCCTGTCTAAGCAGCTGAATCACCTTGAGTCAGAGCAGAAGGAAGGAGTGTGGCTGCTGTCTGCTCTCTTACCCTCCCACAAACTCCCTCGTTTCTGCCATAAATCTCCTCTCAAACAGCAGCCAAGCTCTATGCAGGTGTCTTAGGATTGTCCTTTCCCCTCCAGTAAGTGAAGCATAAAGCAAGTCAGAGTGTTTCTGCTGGGTAAAGGATGGACTGAAAGGGGATATGGCTTAAACTCTGCTGTGGCCTATAATAAAACCACTCAGCCAACATTAGAGCTGGTGTGCTGGCTCTTTTCATTCCTCTACATGGAAAACAGGCAGGCTGAAGATTTTTATTTACAACAGTCCTGCAAAAGTGCAGCACTGTTTGCATTTGAGGAGCATCAAGAGGAGCAGCATCCCCAGTGGATGAGATAGGGTTAAAGAGCCACTTGCAGAAGCAGCGTGGCAGGAGTCTGAGCAGCAGCAACACCTTGAGCAGACTTTGCTTTTTTAGCTGTCCTCATTTTGTGGAGACCCACAGCAAGTTAATGCAAAGGAGAAGAAATCCATCTCCTATTCAAACAGCCCCAACAAAAAAAAAACATCAAGGAAGGTTTATGTTGTGTGTTCTTTGTCCTGGGCTGGCAAATATTTCTGGTGGATGAAATTCAGCAAGTAAAGGGCTTTGGCTGGAGGGAACAGCTTTCCCTGCACCTTAACCCAGCTGGAGCACAACTGGGACACTGAGTGAGCTGCCCCAGGTTGCTTTGTAAGAATTCCTGCTTGGCTAGTGCAAGAACTGGTCCCCAGGCATCAGGCAGAGCAGCAGCAGGAACACAGAGTGCATGGCTACAGGACAAAAACTCTGGGCATGGTTCACCTAAGCACATCATTACACAAACAACTTCATCAGCTCTGTGCATCAGTGCCAGGAAGAGTGCCAGGGCTGGCTGCAATCATTTAGGATTGTTTACCCCCAAGAAACACCAGGAAAGATGACAGGAGATAAATATTTATCTGCTCTGCCTGAAGACACAGCAAGGGGAGAGGAATCGAGGTGCTTGTGCAGCAGCCTGGCTGCAGGAGGGAAAACAGGGAATGAGTGAACTGAATCTCACGTGGAGCTGCAGTTTCTGCACTGACACACACTTCTGCCTTTGTAGAGCAAAGGAAAGAAATTAAAGTTTTAATATTTATTATGCCTGGGAAATTCATCAAAGGCTTGTCCCAAATCACAGTTTAAATCTGATTTACTCAAAGAAATTCTCTTTGCAAACATATACCTTATTATTTTAGAAGGTGATGTTGTGGTAACAAAGATGTGTTCTGGATCTTTAATCCTGACTTGCTATTGTTCAATTCTGCTGAAATGGACTTTTTTCTGAATACTCAGGCAACAATTGCTTACCACCAGGATATAGATGGGGGAAAATAAAGGTTGTGTGGACTTACTCCTTCAGATTTCTTATCAGGGAAGATACACGTCTCTCCACCAGCTGTGAAATTACAGTAAACTTTGAAAGAGTCCCTGGAACATCCTTGGTTAGGATCAACCCAGTATTCACCTGGATGCAGGAGAGGGAAGAGAAGGGAAGAAGGAATCAGCATGGTGAAGGAATGGAAGAGACCTCCAAGATCATCAAGTCCAACCATCAAGCCAACACTACTAAGTCCTCTGAATCCCACTTTAGCAACCAGGGCTGCTTCATCTCTCTCCTAGGCTACAACTTCTGTATATTTTTTGGAAAACTGATCATATTCTGATTCCACTCAATACTGTGGCAACTTCTGGGAACTGTGACTTTTCATCCTATAGCCCCATTCTTAGTATGGAGTATTTTGATTGGAATGGACCTACAACAATCATCTAGTCCAACTCTTCTCTACATATTCCTTTTGTCAGCCACACTCCTCATGGGACAACAGGGCCAGGGACTCCCCAAATTACTTCTCCTCCTGCACTTGTTTGTATGCACTGTGTAGAGCTGGGACAGCCAGAGTGTTTCCCCAGCACCCACCATCTGGGAAATCGGGGTGACAGAGCTGCAGATCCTTGCAGGTACGTGCTGGGTTATGTTGAGTGCCCAAGGGATGCTTCATTTGTTCAATTTCCAGTTTCAAGGAATTCAGAGAGCCGAAAATTTCTTCCATGCCATCTGCATAGTCCATGTAGTTGTCAGCATTTCCCTCGTCCAGCAGCTGGCTGGCGTCGATGTTTCGCCTGGTCCTCTTGGAAGACTGGATGGGCAGTGGCTGGATGACTTCTCCAGGAGGACCCTGTGGAAAGAAGATAAAACTTCTCCTGGCGTTGGGCAGTGGGGAAGAGACAGAAGAGATGGCCAAAGCAGCACCAAGAGAGACAAACCAGAGAAATAAACCACCCATGATGGTAGCAATTAAACCTCTGGCCACCAGGCTAGAACGTGGTGCCCATCTTGTCATCTTCCCATTAGTAACTTCACCCCCTCACATCCTTTCTTCCCCAGCATCTCTAAGAGATGCCAATCCATTGCTAAGACCCACGAGGTGTTTAATCTCTGTTCAGAAATCTGCTTGCTAACATTACAACACCCATTCCATCTGAACTTCCTTTCACACTTCAGGCAACAGGTTCTACTTACAGGAGGCCCTGGGGGTCCAGGAAGCCCAGATTCACCCTTTGGACCTGTTGGACCCTGGGTGGAAAAACAAGGGAAAAATGTATGAGTCACTCAGGAACAAAGCACTTGTCTCTTATCCCAAACATTATTTCTTTTAATAGTCTCCTGTGGCAAAAACTTTCTTCCTGTCCCTTCAAGTGCTCAAGAAGAGCCCCCTTGCACCCCTCAAGAAAATGTTCATTTTGGTTCTTTTTGATACCTAGGTAGAAGAAAAGATCAAATTAAACAATCAAATTTTGCCTAGGCTTCCTATGGAAAAGGAAGAACCTTTCAATGCATGAAAACATTAACTCTCCAGATCAAATCAGCAGTTTTATAAATCAAAATAAAATCTTCAAGTTCATAAAACATTGAATTCCACATGGGGAAAAGACATTAGGAGGTTGCCCAAAGGGAGTTTTTAGCTGCCTACATAGATCTGTAACATGAAGCTTGCTTCAGTGTCACATTTCTCACCGAATTCTTCACTTTTCAGCTTTGCTGCCTCCTGCTTCACAGGCTATTTTTAACACCCTCTGCTTTCCAGCAGTAGGTTTTCTCCTAAGGACTATGTGCTGGATTCCTCCTTATGATCTTTGCTGCACCAGTGAAGTACAGAGCGTGCAACAGAAACCTTTCCCAATTATAATTCCTGGCCTCAGCCAGCCTGAAAAGGCTGCATTTGCTGCTGTCATCTTTGGCTAATTGCCTTAATGCCACTGTTGTGGAGGAGTCACAGCAGGTTATGCATTTAATAAGAGCTCCTCAGCCTCTTCATTTAACAATGTCTATACTCACTGATGATCCTTTAGCACCTTTGGGACCAGGTGGACCCTGTATAGAGAGAAATACAGAAAGAAGTCAGTACATTTCTAGCAGAGAAGTTGTTGGTCTCTCTTCAGAGAGACACAGAGCAGTGTTACAGGAGGTGGTTTTCCTAATTCACTCCCTTTCTGCTTCCACTTTTCACATCCACTTGAGTTCAGTGTTGCTTTTCTTTGCCAAAATACAAAAAGCATTTGTGTCAGAGCTCCACATTCTTGCCCAGGGGAGGGCTGGGAAAGCTGCTGTGTGATCACTGGAAGCCAGGGCTGATCCTGGCTCTGTGATAAGGACACCCAGCAACAACCAATGCTGGTGGTGCTCAAGGGTGTGGGATGCAAACCTTGAGCACCCAGTGAAAAAACAATGCAAACAGCAAAAAGTGCAAGAAATCATCATGTGCTTGTAGATAATCCAAAGGAGAGAGAAACAGAGTGGGATAATTTCCCTGCCTTGATCACACCGTGTCCCCTGTGACCATCTCTCAGCTCACATGTCCCCTCCCCAGTACTCCTGTAGTTCACTCAAGGGTTTACCATGGGCTGAGCTGGGAGAGCCCATTCCCATCAGCCTCCTCCTACAAGGTCAGGCCAGAAGGACTGAGAGCACCAAGGTGACTCTAGAAGACTCTGTGGCTCCTAAAGTATTATCAGAAAACCACTTGCCACATACCGGTAATCCTGGTGGCCCTGGAGGTCCAATTGGTCCAGAGGGACCTGTGATACCCTGGAAAATAAAGGCACAACACCATTGATTCATGTGCAGCTATGGTGCCCTATAACTACACAACATCTGCTCACAGATAACCACCTGATTTTGGAGGACTCAATTCAAATCTGGAGATTTAATTGGTTTTTTTAAGTATGCCCATGATTCAGGCAAGAGCATGACCAAGGAATCTCATCTCTCTTTGAGGCACAGTTTCAAAAATCAGTCCTTTAGATGCCTATTTAATGTTACCATTCCTCCAAGTCTGTTCAACTTCTTTCATAGAACCCTTGAGAATCTGCTTCTGCTCAAACGGGTCATTTTGAAGCATCTTTGCATTTCACATGTAAAATACTACATTAATAGAGAAAGATTTCCTCAAAAATTAGCCAGTCTCCTGCTGAGGTTGAGCATCTCTGCTATGCCACACCTGCTCAAAGTCAGCAAACCCCCTGGCTCAAAAGCACATTTCATTAAGGTCTTTTGGAGTATTTACCTGCTCTCCTTTGGGTCCTGCTGAGCCCTGGGGGCCTGGGAGACCTCTGTCACCCTTTTCTCCCTGCTCTCCTGGTGGTCCAATAAGGCCAATTAAACCTGGATGACCCTAGGGGAAAAGAGGAGATGTTAACTATGATCTCTCACCAGAGGCAACCAATTGCCAAAGCTACACAGCAAAGACACTTCTAGATACAACCCCAAACATCTAAGTGAGGTGCTAGGGGTTTGCAGCTACCCCTGACAGCTGGAAGTGGCAGAGCAGAGCAAAGCACTGGCTTTTTGCAAGAGAAAATGCTACAAATCCAGAAGCAGAACCACTGGACTGGAGCATCTGCTCATTGTGTGGGCTAACACCTATTACACAAGTCTCTAGAAGGTTGTGCTTGGTGGCACTCCTCAGCCTTGTCCTGCCAACTGCAAGACCCATCTACAATGACTTTTTTCCCCCACATCAGACATGGCCAGCAGGCCGTGCAGTGAGATCATTCATGCCACCCTTACCTTCTCCCCTTTGGGGCCAGAGTCTCCTTTAAGGCCAGGCAAACCCGGAGGGCCCTTTGGGATACAGGGGAGAAAACAAAAGAGGGAATGAATTCACATAAAATGCATTCACTTGTTTCAAAAACTTATGGAATTTGATGGTCTGGACATACCAGTGGGCCTGGAGGACCATCTGGGCCAGGGGATCCTGGGAGACCTTGTTCACCCTGTAAAACAGTGAAGTTCCTTCAAAACAAGCATCCCTCACAACAATGCTCCCAGCTAGGATTATTCTGATTATTCCCTCACTCTCATCTGGTCCCCGTGCCAGGGAACATTTGCCCTGGCTTCCCACAGATGGTAACAGCAAAAGGATTTAGGTTCCTTTCATGCTCAAATCTCTACTGGAAAAGGGACTTTGGAGGTCATGGAAACTCATCCCTGGAGAGCAGGCGAGCAGACCCATGGCACAAACCATGCCAGGAGATGATATTCACTGTCCCATTATTTCCACTAAATATGTTTTATCTGCTGTCAGGCATTTAAGACAGACAGAACACTGGGAGAAAGGCATCTTCCAAGGCAGATGGGTTACAGCAAAGCACCAGGAACAACCCTGCCCAGCAGCTTTCTCAGACTCTGCTCAGTTGGGGAATACTCACGACTGGACCAGGGATCCCTCGAAGGCCATCAGGGCCAGGCTTCCCTGGAGCACCTTGGGGACCAATTGGGCCAGTCTTCCCTGGAGGTCCTTCCAAACCAGCTTCACCCTAGATGCAAGAAGCAGCATGGTTTGATTTGCATTGGAGCATCAAGGGAACTTCTCTAATATGCCCTGGCTAGTGCCAGGATGTCACAGAGTGGAAGCAGGTCCATGCAGAGCAGGTAAAACCCTCTGCTTGTTGGTTCTCCTACTGCTCCCTATCCCTGACATGCTGAGGACAAGTCTTCAAACTCCTGAACTTTTCAGCCTTGCCTATTTCTGCTGATTTCCAGCAGGAACAGTCCTTTAGCTGCAAGCTCTCTGGAGCAGAAAGCTTTCCTGGGAGATGAGCTAGCA